CCTGGCACCCACTATCATCCTACACACAACACTGTCATCCCTACACCCACAACACTATCGTCCTACACCACAGCACTATCTGCATCCTACACCACCAGCACTGTAATCACTACACACACAACACTATCATCCTACACCCACAACACTATCATCCTACACAACACTATCCATCTACACACAACACTATCATCCTACACCACAACCTATCATCCCTACACACCACATCACTATCATCCTGCACCACAACACTATCATCCTACACCCACAACACTATCATCCTACACACAACACTATCATCCTACACCACAACACTGTTATCCTCACACCACAACTTTATCATCCTACACCCACAACACTACACTCATCCTACTACCTGACACTATCATCCCTACACACCAGCACTATCATCCTACACCAGCACTATCGTCCCTACCCTGTACCTATCATCCTACACCACAGCACTGTCATCCCTGCACCTGGCTTACTGTCATCCTGCACACAACACTGTCATCCTACACACACAACACCTGTCATCCTACACCCTGTGCTATCGTCACACCTGGCACTGTCATCCTGCACCGCAACACTGTCTACACCACAACACTATCATCCACCTCCATCACTATCGTCACCACCTAGCACTATCCATCACACACACACTATCATCCTACACCACAACACTATCATCTCCACACATCACTATCATCCTACACCACAACACTATCATCCTACACCACAACACTATCATCCTACACTGACAATCATCCTACACACACTATCATCACACACCCACAACACTATCATCCTACACCCACAACACTATAATCCTACACCCACAACACTATCATCCTACACACATCACTATCATCCTACACCTAACACTATCATCCTACACCCACAGCACTATCATCCTACACACCCACAACACTATCATCCTACACCTCATCACTATCCTGCACCCCACAAGCACTATCATCCTACACACATCACTATCCACCACATCATATCATCCCTACACCACAACACTATCATCCTACACAGCCATGGTCACCGTCATTGGTTGCTTCAGTATACAGCTGTTCAGTTGTTTCTGAAGTGTATAGGTAAGTCAAAAGATGTCCTGCCTCCCTGCCTCCCCTCCCTGCCTCCCTGCCTCCTCCCTGCCTGCCCTCACCTGCCTCCCTCGCCTCCCTGCCTGCTTCCTCCCTCACCTCCCTGCCTCCCTGCCTCCTGCCTCCCCTGCCTCCCTCCCTGCCTCCCTGCCTGCCTCCCTCCCTCCCTGCCTCCCCTGCCTCCTCCCTGCCTGCCCCACCTGCCTCCCTCCCTCCGCTTCCCCCTCCTGCCTCCTCCCCCTGCCTCCGCCTCCCACCTCCTCCTCCCCTGCCTCCCCTGCCTCCCACCTGCCTCCCTCCCTGCCTCCCTGCCTCCCTCCCCTGCCTCCCTCCCCTGCCTCCCTGCCTCACTCCCTCCCCTCCCTCCCCTCCCTCCCTCCCTCCTCCTCTGTCTCCTGCCTGCCTCCCTGCCTCCCTCCCTCCCTCCCCGCCTCCCTGCCTCCCTCCCTCCCCTGCCTCCTCCCTCCCTCCTTCTGCCTCCTCCTGCCTCCCTCCTGCCTCGCTTCCTCCCTGCCTGCTTCCTCCCCTGCCCCCTCCCCTCCCCTGCCTGCTTCCTCCCTCCCTCCCCTGCCTCCGTCCCTGCCTGCTTGCCTCCCTGCCTCCCTCCTCCCTCCTGCCTGCTTCCCTCCCTGCCTCCCTCCCCTGCCTGCTTCCCTCCCTGCCTCCCCTCCCTCCCCTGCCTGCTTCCCTCCCTCCTCCTGCCTCCGTCCCTGCCTGCTTGCCTCCCCTGCCTCCCTCCCTGCCTCCCTCCCTCCTCCCCTGCCTCCCCCCTCCCCTGCCTCCCTCCCCGTCTCCCTCCCTGCCTGCTTCCCTCCCTCCCCTGCCTGCTTCCCTCCCTCCCTGCTCCGCTCCTCCCCTCCGTCCCTGCTTCCTGAGACATTGTGAATTGGAGGGAGGAGGGGCGAGGGAGACAGGGAGGTATGTTTCTCTGGGACACCCTGCGGTATATGTCAAACTATTCATCAGGTAATCTTCAAGCCTTATATACTATTCTGATTATATCAACACTACCCCGCCCACTACTATGACGTATGGGTTTGACGTCACACACTACCCCGCCCACTACTATGACGTATGGGTTTGACGTCACACACTACCCCGCCCACTACTATGACGTATGGGTTTGTGATTGGTTAATGTGACACTATCCTTTGTGGAAGCCAATTGTTAGTCATTCTGTAGAGCAATTGATTTATTATTGTTTTTTAACTGGCCAAGGCGAGAGAAAGAGGGTTATTTGTTATCCGATTTCTAACTGACCAATCACAAAACCTAGTGAGAAAGAGGGCGGGGCTATTTCATTTGTTTTCTAACTGGCCAATCACAAACCAAGATGGAAAAAGAAAGAGGGCGGGGTTATTTTGTTATCCGATTCCTAACTGACCAATCACAAACCTAGTTGACAGAAAGAGGGCGGGGCTATTTTGTTATCCGATTTCTAAGTGACCAATCACAAACCTAGTTGACAGAAAGAGGGCAGCTATTTTGTTATCCGATTTCTAACTGACCAATCACAAACCTAGTTGACAGAAAGAGGGCGGGGCTATTTTGTTATCCGATTTCTAAGTGACCAATCACAAACCTAGTTGACAGAAAGAGGGCGGGGCTATTTTAACATCACCATAAAGAACAGTACTGTACAGCGTCAGTAGGCCACAGGTCCCGCCGCCTCGCTCAGTGTTCCTCTTAACTTAACTTTACAGAATCACAAAATTTAGACCTAAATTTTCCATAAATAAACAAACATACAAACGACATTCCCGACCGAAAGTTAGACCAGCTGGGGGTAGGCCTATAAGCTCAGCTAGGCCTATCCCAGTACCTTCGGCAGTTATAAGGAGCGACTGGCTGACTCATTATCATCATATAATTTAACACTATCACCATTATTATTGTTTCTATTAATATCATCATCACTATCATATCATCACTATCGTCATCATCATTATCATTTTCATAGGTCACTGTTTATCACCATACTTTATCACCATAGTCACCACCATGTTCACTATTATTGGCAGCCCGAACAGTATCACCATCGTCGCTGTCACTATTAAATTATCTTAGTTTCCAACACCACAATCATCATCATCATCATACTAATTTTCGTTGTCATTATCTTTATATTCACTATTTATCACCATAACCACCACCACCATCACCACCACTGGCAGTCACCATCAACACCACCACTGGCAGTCACCATCATCACCACCACTGGCAGTCACCATCATCACCACCACTGGCAGTCACCATCACCACCACTGGCAGTCACCACCATCACCACCACTGGCAGTCACCATCAACACACCACTGGCAGTCACCATCATCACCACCACTGGCAGTCACCATCATCACCACCACTGGCAGTCACCATCACCACCAGCATTGTCAGGCAGTTATGATCACCAACAACAGTCACCATCACCATCATTAGTCACCATCATCACCACTGAGTCACCATTATTAGTCACCAGCAAAACCCACCATAGGTTAGGTTAGGTTAGGAGGGTGGCACAGGGGTGGGGGGTGTCTACAGGTCACAGGACACACCATGAGTCACCAGGACACACCATGAGTCACCAGGACACACCATGAGTCACCAGGACACACCATGAGTCACCAGGACACACCATGAGTCACCAAGACACACCATGAGTCACCAGGACACACCATGAGTCACCAGGACACACCATGAGTCACCAGGACACACCATGAGTCACCAGGACACACCATGAGTCACCAGGACACACCATGAGTCACCAAGACACACCATGAGTCACCAGGACACACCATGAGTCACCAGGACACACCATAGTCACCAGGACACACCATGAGTCACCAAGACACACCATGAGTCACCAGGACACACCTTGGTCACCAGGGCACACCATGAGTCACCAGACACACCATGAGTCACCAGGACACACCATGAGTCACCAGGACACACCATGAGTCACCAGACACACCATGAGTCACCAGGACACACCATGAGTCACCAGGACACACCATGAGTCACCAGGACACACCATGAGTCATCAAGACACACCATGAGTCACCAGGACACACCATGAGCCAGGGACACACCATGAGTCACCAGGACACACCATGAGTCACCAGGACACACCATGAGTCACCAGGACACACCTTGAGTCACCAGGACACACCATGAGTCACCAGGACACGCCATGAGTCACCAGGACACACCATGAGTCACCAAGACACACCATGAGTCACCAGGACACACCATGAGTCACCAGGACACACCATGAGTCACCAGGACACACCATGAGTCACCAGGACACACCATGAGTCACCAAGACACACCATGAGTCACCAGACACACCATGAGTCACCAAGACACATGAGTCACCAGGACACACCATGAGTCACCAAGACACACCATGAGTCACCAGACACACCATGAGTCACCAGGACACACCATGAGTCACCAGGACACACCATGAGTCACCAGGACACACCATGAGTCACCAGACACACCATGAGTCACCAAGACACACCATGAGTCACCAGGACACACCATGAGTCAGGGACACACCATGCGTCACCAGGACACACCATGAGTCACCAGGACACACCATGAGTCACCAGGGACACCATGAGTCACCAGACACACCATGAGTCACCAGGACACACCATGAGTCACCAGGGCACACCATGAGTCACCAGGAGGTACAGGGTGATCACATGGTAGAGGTCTTATTGTCGCCCGTATCATGTGTGGCAAGTCTTCTGCTGCTCTTCTTCACTACTGACCCTCCTCCTGCACTCACACTGGCCGTCCTCACACTGCTGCCGCCCCTCACACTGCTACCCACACCACCTACATTACCCACACCACCGCCACCCACGTTGCCAACACCACACCACCACCACCACCACCAGCACCACCACCCACAGTGCTCACGGTGCTTATCATATTACCACCACCACCCACACAGCTACCACCCCGCATACTACCACTACCACCTATAAGCCCACTACCACCACCACCCATCACAATACTACCACCCCTCACACTACCACCCGTCGCCGTGCCACTACTGCCTCTCACACTACCACTAACACTTCGAGCTCTGAAACTGCCACCACCCATGATGCTTCCAGCCCTCATACTGCCGCTGACACTGGCCGCCCTCACACTTGCCGCCCTCATACTGCCGCCCTCCTCTATCATCATACGGGATCTGACGGCTGGAGTGTTGTTCAGCTTGGGGTTGGGTATACAAGCGTAGACAGGGCGGTAGAGTAAAACAGACTCGGGGTTACTGTCTAAACCCCCGTCATACACCTGTCCAAGTTGAAACTCTGGCCCCGTGTACAGTCCGCCCTCCACGTGGTCACAACACACACCTGCGGGAACACGGTGGTTAGGTGGAGCACAGTGGTGGAACACAGTGGTTAAGAGTGCTGTTAAATGGAACACGGAATTTAAGTGGAACACGGGAGTGACTTAGTAGTTGGAATTGACTTATGAGCTAGGAGTGACTTATGAGCTAGGACTGACTTATGAACTAGAAGTGACTTATGAGCTAGGAGTGACTTATGAGCTAGGACTGACTTATGAGCTAGGACTGACTTATGAGCTAGGAGTGACTTATGAGCTAGGAGGACTTATGAGCTAGGGAGGACTTATGAGCTAGGAGTGACTATGAGCTAGGAGTGACTTATGAGCTAGGAGGACTTATGAGTGACTTATGAGCTAGAAGGACTGAACTAGGAGTGACTTATGAGTGACTTATGAGCTAGGACTGACTTATGAGCTAGAAGTGACTTATGAGCTAGGAGTGATTATGAGCTAGGACTGACTTATGAGCTAGAAGTGACTTATGAGCTAGGACTGACTTATGAGCTAGAATTGACTTATGAGCTAGGGGTGACTTATGAGCTAGGACTGACTTATGAGCTAGGAGTGACTTATGAGCTAGGGGAGTGACTTATGAGCTAGGAGTGACTATGAGCTAGGAGTGACTTATGAGCTAGGACTGACTTATGAGCTAGAAGTGACTTATGAGCTAGGAGGACTTATGAGCTAGGAAGTGACTTATGAGCTAGGGGTGACTTATGAGCTAGGACTGACTTATGAGCTGGGAGTGACTTATGAGCTAGGGTGACTTATGAGCTAGGAGTGACTTATGAGCTAGGGACTGACTTATGAGCTAGGAGTGACTTATGAGCTAGGAGGACTTATGAGCTAGGAGTGACTTATGAGCCAGGAGTGACTTATGAGCTAGGATGACTTATGAGCTAGAAGTGACTTATGAGCTAGGGGTGACTTATGAGCTAGGACTGACATGAGCTGGGAGTGACTTATGAGCTAGAGTGACTTATGAGCTAGGAGTGACTTATGAGCTAGGACTGACTTATGAGCTGGGAGTGACTTATGAGCTAGGAGTGACTTATGAGCTAGGAGTGACTTATGAGCTAGAGTGACTATGAGCTAGGAGTGACTTATGAGCTAGAAGTGACTTATGAGCTAGGGGTGACTTATGAGCTAGGAGTGACTTATGAGCTAGGGCTGACTTATGAGCTAGAGTGACTTATGAGCTAGGAGTGACTTATGAGCTAGGAGGACTTATGAGTGACTTATGAGCTAGAAGTGACTTATGAGCTAGGAGGACTTATGAGTGACTTATGAGCTAGAAGGACTTATGAGCTAGGAGTGACTTATGAGTGACTTATGAGCTAGAAGTGACTTATGAGCTAGGAGTGACTTATGAGCTAGAAGTGACTTATGAGCTAGGGGAGGACTTATGAGCTAGAAGTGACTTATGAGTGACTTATGAGCTAGGAGTGACTTATGAGCTAGGAGGACTTATGAGTGACTTATGAGCTAGAAGTGACTTATGACTGACTTATGAGCTAGGGTGACTTATGAGCTAGGAGTGACTTATGAGTGACTTATGAGCTAGGAGTGACTTATGAGCTAGGAGGACTTATGAGTGACTTATGAGCTAGAAGTGACTTATGAGCTAGGAGTGACTTATGAGCTAGGGAGTGACTTATGAGCTAGGAGTGATTTATGAGCTAGGAGTGACTTATGAGCTAGAAGTGACTTATGAGCTAGGAGTGACTTATGAGCTAGGAGTGACCTTATGAGCTAGGGAGTGACTTATGAGCTAGGAGACTTATGAGTGACTATGAGCTAGAAGGACTTATGAGCTAGAGTGACTTATGAGGACTTATGAGCTAGAAGTGACTTATGAGCTAGGAGTGGACTTATGAGCTAGAAGTGACTTATGAGCTAGGAGGACTTATGAGCTAGGAGGACTTATGAGCTAGAGTGACTTATGAGTGACTTATGAGCTAGAAGTGACTTATGAGCTAGGAGTGACCTTATGAGCTAGGAGGACTTATGAGCTAGGAGTGACTTATGAGTGACTTATGAGCTAGAAGTGACTTATGAGCTAGGAGTGACTTATGAGTGACTTATGAGCTAGAAGGACTTATGAGCTAGAGTGACTATGAGCTAGGAGTGACTTGAGGATGACTTATGAGCTAGGAAGTGACTTATGAGCTAGAAGTGACTTATGAGCTAGGAGGACTATGAGCTAGGAGTGACTTATGAGCTAGAAGTGACTTATGAGCTAGGAGTGACTTATGAGCTAGAAGGACCTTATGAGCTAGGAGTGACTTATGAGCTAGGAGTGACTTAAGGAGTGACTTATGAGCTAGAAGTGACTTATGAGCTAGGGAGGACTTATGAGTGACTTATGAGCTAGAAGTGACTAGAGCTAGGGAGGACTTATGAGCTAGAAGTGACCTTATGAGCTAGGAGTGACTTATGAGCTAGAGGACTTATGAGCTAGGAGTGACTTATGAGTGACTTGCTGGTGAAGTGACCTTATGAGCTAGGAGGATTATGAGCTAGGAGTGACTTATGAGCTAGGAGTGACTTATGAGGACTTATGAGCTAGAAGTGACTTATGAGCTAGAAGTGACTTATGAGCTAGGAGGACTTTAGGAGCTAGGAGTGACTTATGAGTGACTTATGAGCTAGTGACTTATGAGCTAGGAGTGACTTATGAGCTGGTGACGGGTGACTTATGAGCTAGAGTGACTTATGAGCTGGGATGCATGAGCTAGGGTGACTCTTGGGCTAGAAGTGACTTATGGGCTAGGGTGACTTATGAGCTAGGGTGACTTATGAGCTAGTGACCTTGAGCTAGGAGTGACTTATGAGGCTAGAGTGACCTTTATGAGCTAGGAGTGACTTATGAGCTAAAGTGACTTATGAGGTGACTTATGAGCTAGGGTGACTTATGAGCTAAGTGACCTTTATGAGCTAGGAGTGACTTATGAATGACTTATGAGCTGGAAGTGACCTTTGGAGCTAGGAGTGACTTATGAGCTAGGGGTGACTTATGAGCTAGGAATGAGCTGAGACACTTACTGTAGGTTATATTAGGCTGTTGGTTGGAATTTGGGATCCGGAAAGGGACTGTGGCGATGGTGATGGGAAAGTGCATGTGGAGGTCTTCCCCTGATTTACTCATTGAGATGTGGACCTGTAGATGAAACACAACGATATAATATGATGCTTTTTTGTGTTGCTGGAGTGATATTTTTGTGTTGGCGGCTATTTTTTGTGCTGGCGGCTATTTTATTTTGTTGGTGTAGCTGCTATTTTTTTCCTTGTGTTGTTTAGGCTGATATATTTTCTTTGTGGTATTGAAGCGGCCATGTTAATTATATTTGTTCATATTATTGTGTTCCTGAAGCGGCCATGTTAATTATGTTGTTCAAAGCCATCTAATTGTGTTCCTGAAGCAGCCATGTTAATTGTGTTCCTAAACATGTCTAATTGTGTTCCTGAAGCCATGTTAATTGTGTTCCTAAGCGCCATGCTAATTGTGTTCCTGAAGCGGCCATGCTAATTGTGTTCCTAGTGATACATAATTGTGTTCCTGAAGCAGCCATGTATTGTGTTCCTGAAGCGGCCATATTAATTGTGTTCCTGAAGCGGCCATGTTAATTGTGTTCCTGAAGCGGCCATGTTAATTGTGTTCCTGAAGCGGCCATGTAATTGTGTTCCTGAAGCGGCCATGTTAATTGTGTTCCTGAAGCGGCCATGTTAATTGTGTTCCTGAAGCGGCCATGTTAATTATGTTGACTGTTATAATTATTCAAGATGGCGGCTTATCATGACCGTCCACTTATGCAAATTACTCTTTCCTTAGTTCATGGTATATAAATATTATTGTTATTATCATCATTCTAAGGCACTTGTGTTACCTCCAGGCACACACTCGGGAAACACCAAATAAATATTGCAACTACCATAAATATTGCAGCTATCATAAATATTGCAGCTATCATATATATTGCAGCTATCATATATATTGCAACTACCATAAATATTGCAACTACCATAAATATTGTAACTACCATAAATATTGCAGCTATCATATATATTGCAACTACCATAAATATTGCAGCTATCATATATATTGCAATTACCATAGATATTGCAGCTATCATATATATTGCAACTACCATAAATATTGCAGCTATCATATATATTTGCAATTACCATAGATATTGCAGCTATCATATATATTGCAACTACCATAAATATTGCAGCTATCATATATATTGCAACTACCATAAATATTACCTATCATATATATTGCAATTACCATAGATATTGCAACTACCATAAATATTGCAGCTATATGAATATTATACTACATGGATATTGTAACTACCATAATTGTACCTTCATAAATATTGTAACTACCATAAATATTGCAACTACCATAAATATTACCTTACCATAAATATCGTAACTACCATAAATATTGCAACTACCATAAATATCGCAACTACCATAAATATTGTAACTACCATAAATATTGTAGCTACCACAAATATTGCAACTACCATAAATATCGCAACTCCCATAAATTATTGTAACTAAGTAAGAGAGACACACAGACGGGAATAAATCACAGCTCATTAGCATACACAAAGTCAACTCTACACAGTAGGGAGGGGGGTCGTCTCTCTCTCCTTAATTGCCTCATTAGCATGAAAACTCACAAGGAAAAATGTGTATGTTAATTTTTTTGTAATGTTTTTTTTGGGTATTTTGACTCATAACTAGACAGACAGTTAGTTAGACAGACAGATAGACAGATAGACAGACAGACAGACCTACCTTGAGGACATAGTAGATCTGGAGAGGTCTACACACACCGATAAGCGTGGGAGGCATCACCGGGACCACTAGACTCTGAGATGAATCAAACTTCCATCGTGTACCGGGAGCTACCGGGTCACCAGCATATTCCAACACCTGGTGCTGTACGTCCTTCGTCACTCCCAGTACGCCCCGGTCGATGAAGTACTCTACATACTGGTGATACGTGGGGGGACAGGATTACTTACAGCAATATATATAGTTGTGTTTTTTTCAAATGTGTTCATATTTTTTATGTGTGGTATCTAACAAAAAAGTGTTCCATAAGTGTTTCTAAAGTGATACCATATGTTACTGGGTTACTTATTTAGGAATTGTTTTTGTATAGGCCTAAGGATTTTTTTTTTTTTAGGCATAGGCTATTGTTATCTATGGTGATGTAATCTCGTATTTAGTTTATAGGTGAGATTCGGGGTGGTCTCTCTCTCTCTCTCTCTCTCTCTCTCTCTCTCTCTCTCTCTTCTTTAAATCTGTCAGTCTCTTCTTCTGCCCCGCTAATATGCTCCTGTCTGTCTGTCTGTCTGTCTGTCTGTCTATGTGTCTGTCTGTCTTGTGTGTGTGTGTGTGTGTGTGTGTGTCTGTCTGTCTGTCTCTCTGTCTGTCTGTCTCTGTGTGTCTGTCTTTCTTTCTGTCTGTCTCTGTCTGTCTGTCTGTCTGTGTGTGTGTGTGTGTGTGTGTCTGTGTGTCTGTCTGTCTGTCTCTGTCTGTCTGTCTCTGTGTGTCTGTCTTTCTTTCTGTCTGTCTCTGTCTATCTGTCTGTCTGTGTGTGTGTGTGTGTGTCTGTCTGTCTGTCTGTCTATCTGTCTCTCTCTGTCTGTCTGTCTGTCTGTCTGGACCAGCCTCAACTTGGCATGGTTCGCCTCACTCTAGTTATTGACGTTAGTTCCAAGTCTGATAATTTCCCTCTCCTCCCTCTCATTCCCTCTCACTCCCTCCTTTATCTCCCCCTCTCCTCCTTCCCACCTTCCTTCTCCTCCTTCTCGCCCTTCCTTCCCTACCCCCTCCTTTACCTTCACTCCTAAAGCTTACTTGGACCAGCTTGAGTTTGAGCCTGATCTCCTCCTCGCTCTGGTTGTCGATGTCGGCCTTAAGCTTGATGCTCTCACCACACACGTAGGCTGTCCGCTCAAGCTGGGTCCTGAGGGAGACTGGCCCTCTCTTACAGCACAGGCAGCAGAGGGAACGTACGTGACCCACCATCGGCTTCTGGGGAAGAGAGGTGATGAGAAGAGATGAGATAGGGGTGATGAGAAAGAGTGGTGTGAGGGGGGTAATAAGGGAGGGGGTGGTGGGGTGATGAGGAGGAGGGTGGGGTGGGGGGTGATGAGAGGGGGTGGGGTGGGGTGATGAGAAGGGGAGAGGGGTGGGAGTTAGTTGAGGGGGTGATGAGGAGAGGGGGGTGGGGTGGGGTTGAAGGAGGTTAGGGTGGGGAGAACACACTCACCTAAGATCATAATCAGCCACAGGATAAGGGGTGACAGGGTGACAGGGGTGACAGGGGTGACCAGGACAGTGACCAGGTGACAGGGTGACAGGGTGACAGGGGTGACAGGGGACAGGGTGACGGGTGACAGGACAGGGGTGACAGGTGACAGGGTGACAGGTGACAGGGACAGGGTGGGTGACAGGGGTGACAGGTGACGGGTGACAGGGGTGACAGGGTGACGGGTGACGGGTGACGGTGACAGGGACAGGGTGACGGGTGACAGGGACAGGGGTGACAGGGTGACGGGTGACCAGGGACAGGGTGACGGGTGGGACAGGGACAGGGTGACGGGTGACAGGGGTGACGGGTGACAGGGACAGGGTGACGGTGACAGGGACAGGGGTGACAGGTGACAGGGTGACAGGGTGACGGGTGACAGGTGACGGGGGTGACGGGGTGACGGGTGACAGGGACAGGGGTGGGACAGGGTGACGGGTGACAGGACAGGTGACGGGTGACGGGGTGACAGGTGACGGGGGTGACGGGTGACCGGGTGACAGGGGACAGGGTGACGGGTGACAGGAGGACAGGGTGACGGGTGGGACAGGGGTGGGGACGGTGACCGGGGACAGGGGTGGGACAGGGGACAGGGACGGGGGTGACGGGTGACAGGGACAGGGTGACGGGTGACAGGGGTGACAGGTGACAGGTGACAGGGACAGGGTGACCAGGTGACAGGGACAGAGTGACGGGTGACAAGGACAGCAGGGTGACGGGTGACCGGGGTGACAGGGGTGGTGACAGGACAGGGTGTGGGGTGACAGGGACAGGGGTGACGGGTGACAGGGACCAAGTGACGGGTGACAGGGACAGGGTGACAGGGACAGGGTGACGGTGACAGGGTGACCAGGGACAGGGTGACAGGTGACAGGGACAGTGACGGGTGACAGGACAGGACAGGGTGACAGGTGATGGGTGACAGGGACAGGTTGACAGGGTGACGGGAGGTGACAGGGGTGACCAGGGACAGGGTGACAGGGTGACGGGTGACAGAGGGTGACAGGGGTGACCAGGGACAGGGTGACGGGTGATGACAGGGTAACAGGGACAGGGGGACGGGGAATGCAGTTAGGTGTATCAATCAGCAAGTGAAGGAGGGAGGGTGTAGTAGTCGTAGGGGTTTGGGTTGAGTTAGGTTAGGTGGGTTAGGTTAGGTTGGGTTGGGGGAGAGAGGATTTAGAAGGAGGAGGAGGGAGGAAGGAGAGCCGACAGGTGTGGCAGTGAGCCGTGTGATGGTCGGAGGCAGGTCGGTGAAGCGTCATATCATACGAGTTGCGATTTCTTGGGTATTTTTAGGGATTTCTTGGGTATTTTTAGGGATTTCTTGGGTATTTTTAGGGATTTCTTGGGTATTTTGATTTCTTGGGTATTTTAGGGATTTCTTGGGTATTTTAGGGATTTCTTGGGTATTTTTAGGGATTTCTTGGGTATTTTTAGGGATTTCTTGGGTATTTTTAGGGATTTCTTGGGTATTTTTAGGGATTTCTTGGGTATTTTTAGGGATTTCTTAGGGAGTCTTAGAGATTCTGAAAGATTCTGCCCATGCCTCCCTACCACCTATCTCCTCCTACCTCCTAAACACCCCATCTTACTTCCCTTCTCCTCCCCACACCCCTCCCCACCCCCCCCCCACCTCACCAGGTACTGCTCGTCCATACAGTCTATATGAGGACCCTCCCCCCCCCACTCCCAGGTACTGCTCGTCATACAGTCTGAGACTCTCCCCTCCCCCACTCACCAGTACTGCTCGTCCATACAGTCTATGGGACCCTCCACCCCCCCTCTCAGGTACTGCTCGTCCATACAGTCTATATAGAGGACTCTCCCCTCCCCACTCACCAGTGCTGCTCGTCCCCAGTTGAGGACCCTCCCCCCCCCCTCTCCTCGTCCATACAGTCTATGTGAGGACTCTCCCCTCCCCACTCACCAGGTACTGCTCGTCCATACAGTCTATATGGACTCCCCACCCCCCCACTCCACCAGGTACTGCTCGTCCATACAGTCTATATAGGACCCTCCCCACCCCCCACTCACCAGGTGACTGCTCGTCCCAGTCTATATGAGACCTCCCCCCCACTCACCAGGTACTGCTCGTCCATACAGTCTATATGAGGACCTCCCCCACTCACCAGGTACTGCTCGTCCCTACGGTCTATAAAGGACCTCCCCCACCCCCCCTCACCAGGTACTGCTCGTCCATACAGTCTATATGAGGCCCTCCCACCCCCCCCCTCCCCAGGTACTGCTCGTCCCATACAGTCTATATGGGCCCCCCACCCCCCACTCACCAGGTGCCTCGTCATACAGTCTATGAGGACCCTCCCCACCCCCCCCCCTCACCAGGTACTGCTGTCCGTCTATGGACCCTCCCACCCCCCACTCACCAGGTACTGCTCGTCCATACAGTCTATATGGGGACCCTCCCACACCCCCACCCACCAGGTACTGCTCGTCCATACAGTCCTGAGGGACCCTCCCCACCCCCACTCACAGGTACTGCTCGTCCATACAGTCTATATGAGGACCCCCCCCACCCCCCACTCACCAGGTACTGCTCGTCCATACAGTCTATAAGAGGGACCTCCCCCCCCCCACTCACCAGGTACTGCTCGTCCATACAGTCTATATCCCCCCCCCCCCACTCCACAGGTACTGCTCGTCCATACAGTCTATAGACCCTCCCAAGGACCTCCCCCACCCCCACTCACCAACTGCTCGTCCGTCATATGAGGACCCTCCCACCCCCCCTCACCAGGTACTGCTCGTCCATACAGTCTATATGAGGACCTCCACCCCCACTCACCAGGTACTGCTCGTCCACACAGTCTATGGACCCTCCCACCCCCACTCACCAGGTACTGCCTCCCACCCCCCCCCCCACCCCCCCACCAACCCCCCACCCCACCCGTCCATACAGTCTATATGAGGACCCTCCCCCTCCCCCACTCACCAGGTACTGCTCGTCCATACAGTCTATGTGGACCCTCCCCACCCCCCCTCACCAAGTACTGCTCGTCCATACAGTCTATATGAGGACCCTCCCCCCACCCCCCCCACTCACCAGGTACTGCTCGTCCCACACAGTCTATATGAGGACCTCACCCCCCCACTCACCAGGTACTGCTCGTCATACAGTCTATATGAGGACCCTCCCCCCACCCCCCCACTCACCAAGTACTGCTCGTCCATACAGTCTATATGAGGACCCTCCCCACCCCCCTCACTGGTACTGCTCGTCCATACAGTCTATATGAGGACCTCCCCCACCCCCACTCACCAGGTATTCAAGTCTATAGGACCCCCCCCCCCCCACTCACCAGGCTGCTCGTCCATACAGTCTAGAGGACCCTCCCCACACTCACCAGGCTGCTGCTCGTCCATACAGTCTATATGGGGACCCTCCCACCCCTCACCAGGTGCCTCAGTCCACCAGTCTATGAGGACCCTCCCCACCCCCACTCACCAGGTACTGCTCGTCCATACAGTCTATAGGGACCCTCCCCCCACCCCCCACTCTGCCCAGGTACTGCTCGTCCATACAGTCTATATGAGGGACCCTCCCCACCCCCCCCCACTCCCAGGTACTGCTCGTCCATACAGTCTATATGAGGACCCTCCCCACCCCCCTCCCTAGGTACTGCTCGTCCCATACAGTCTATATGAGACCTCCCCACCCCCCCACTCACCAGGTACTGCTCGTCCATACAGTCTATATGAGGACCTCCCCACCCCCCTCACCAGGTACTGCTCGTCCGCCAGTCCATAGAGGACCTCCCCACCCCCCCCCACTCCACTCTCGTCCATACAGTCTATATGAGGACCCTCCCACCCCCCACTCACCAGGTACTGCTCGTCCCACAGTCTATATGGGGACCCTCCCCACCCCCCCCTCACCAGGTACTGCTCGTCCATACAGTCTTGAGGACCCTCCCCACCCCCACTCACAGGTGCCTCGTCCCCAGTCTTGAGCCCCCACCCCCCACTCACCAGGTACTGCTCGTCCATCCACAGTCCATGAGGACCCTCCACCCCCACTCCCAGAGTACTGCTCGTCCATACAGTCTATATGAGGGACCTCCCCACCCCCTCACAGGTACTGCTCGTCCATACAGTCTATATGAGGACCCTCCCCCACTCCAGGTACTGCTCGTCCATACAGTCTATATGAGGACCTCCCCACCCCCACTCCTGCTCGTCCATACAGTCTATATAGGGGCCCTCCCCCCCCCCCACTCACCAGGTACTGCTCGTCCATACAGTCTATATGAGACCCTCCCCCCACTCACCAGGTACTGCTCGTCCATACAGTCCTATATGAGGACCCTCCCCCCCAATCTCCCAGTGCCTGCCCATACAGTCTATATGGGGACCTCCCACCCCCCACTCCCAGGTACTGCTCGTCCATACAGTCTATATAGGGACCCTCCCACCCCCCACTCCCAGGTACTGCTCGTCATACAGTCTATATGAGGGACCCTCCCACCCCCTCACCAGGTACTGCTCGTCCCATACAGTCTATATGAGGGACCTCCCCACCCCCCCACTCCCAGGTACTGCTCGTCCCATACAGTCTGCTATGGGACCTCCCCCACCCCCCTCACCAGGTACTGCTCGTCCATACAGTCTATGTGAGGACCCTCCCCACCCCCCACTCACCAGGTACTGCTCGTCCATACAGTCTATATGAGGACCCTCCCCACCCCCCCACTCACCAGGTACTGTCGTCCATACAGTCTGTAGACCTCCCCACCCCCCCTCACCCAGTACTGCTCGTCCCAATCTAGCCCTCCCCCCCTCACAGTACTGCCTGTCCATACAGTCTATATAGAACCTCCTCCACCCCCCCCACTCACCAGGTACTGCTCGTCCATCAGTCTATGAGACCCCCCCCCACTCACCAGTACTGCTCGTCCCATACAGTCATATGAGGCCTCCCCACCCCCCACTCACCAGGGCACTGCTCGTCCATACAGTCTATATGAGGACCCTCCCCCACTCACCAGGTACTGCTCGTCCCCACAGTCTATATGGACCCTCCCCCCACTCACCAGGTACTGCTCGTCCATACAGTCTATATGAGAACCTCCCCACCCCCCCCACTCACCAGGTACTGCTCGTCCATACAGTCTATATGAGGACCCCCCCTCCTAGGTACTGCTCGTCCACACAGTCTATGGGGACCCTCCCCACCCCCACTCACCAGGTACTGCTCGTCCCCACAGTCTATATGAGGACCCTCCCACCCCCCACTCTGAGTGACTGCTCGTCCATACAGTCTATATGAGGGACCCTCCCACCCCCCCACTCACCAGGTACTGCTCGTCCATACAGTCTATATGAGGACCCTCCCCCCCCCCACTCACCAGGTACTGCTCGTCCACAGTCTATATGAGGACTCTCCCACCCCCCACTCACCAGGTACTGCTCGTCCATACAGTCTATATGAGAGCCTCCCACTCCCCCACTCACAGGTACTGCTCGTCCATACAGTCTATATGAGGACCCTCCCCACCCCCCACTCACCAGGTACTGCTCGTCCATACAGTCTATATGAGGACCCTCCCACCCCCCACTCACCAGGTACTGCTCGTCCATACAGTCTATGAGGACCCCCCCACCCCCCCACTCACCAGGTACTGCTCGTCCATACAGTCTATATGAGGACCCTCCACCCCCACTCACCAGGTACTGCTCGTCCATACAGTCTATGGGGACCCTCCCACCCCCCCTCCCAGGTACTCCTCGTCCATACAGTCTATGAGGACCCTCCCCACCCCCCCCACTCACCAGGTACTGCTCGTCCCTTACAGTCTATATGGGGACCTCCCCACCCCCACTCACCAGGTACTGCTCGTCCATACAGTCTATATGAGGGACCCTCCCACCCCCCCCACTCACCAGGTACTGCTCGTCCATACAGTCTATATGAGGACCCTCCCACCCCCACTCACCCAGGTACTGCTCGTCCATACAGTCTATGAGGGGACCCTCCCCACTCCCCCCTCACCAGGTACTGCTCGTCCCTACAGTCTATATGAGGGACCTCCACCCCCCCACTCACAGGTACTGCTCGTCCATACAGTCTATGGGGACCCTCCCCCACCCCCCCCCACTCACAGGTACTGCTCGTCCATACAGTCTATGAGGACCCTCCCACCCCCCCCACTCACCAGGTACTGCTCGTCCCTTACAGTCTATATGAGGACCCTCCCCACCCCCCCACTCACCAGGTACTGCTCGTCCATACAGTCTATGTGTGGACCCTCACCCCACCTCACCAGGTACTGCTCGTCCATACAGTCTATATGAGGACCCTCCCCTCCCCCACTCACCAGGTACTGCTCGTCCATACAGTCTATATGAGGACCCTCCCCACCCCACTCACCAGGTACTGCTCGTCCATACAGTCTATATGAGGACCCTCCCACCCCCACTCACCAGGTACTGCTCGTCCCATACAGTCTATATGAGGACCCTCCCCACCCCCCCTCTGGGTACTGCTCGTCCATACAGTCTATATGGGGACCCTCCCACCCCCCCACTCACGGTACTGCTCGTCCATACAGTCTATATGAGGACCCTCCCCACCCCCACCCCCCCACTCACCAGGTACTGCTCGTCCCCACAGTCTATATGGGGACCCTCCCCACCCCCCCACTCACCAGGTACTGCTCGTCCATACAGTCTATATGTGGACCAATAATAGTAAATACTTCATCCCTGAGGCGGTGAGGCGTAGGGGATGTCCACAGTCACCTGAGAACTATATACGTCTATTATCTTTATCATTATTTTTATATAATCATCATTATATCATTATCATTACATTACATCATAATCATCATCATCATTATCATTATTACTATTATCGTCATTATCAATCATCATTATTATCATCATCATCATCATCATCATCATCATTATTACTATTATCGTCATTATCAATCATCATTATTATCATCATCATCATCATCATCCATTCTTACATATCGTCATTATCAATCATCATTATTATCATCATCATCATCATCATCATTATTACTATTATCGTCATTATCAATTATCATTATTATCATCATCATCATCATCATCATCATCATTAATACTATTATCGTCATTATCAATCATCATTATTATCATTATCCACTAAATACATTATAGCTGTGTCTATAATCTCCCCATGGTCTATTAATCTCCCTGGTCTAATCCTCACCTGGTCTAACCAATCTCCACCTGGTCTATTAATCTCCCACCTGGTCTATTAATCTCCCACCTGTTAGTATCCTCCACATGGTCTATTAATCCTGGTCTATTAATCTCACAGTATACTCTCACATAGTCTATATCTCCCCCACACCACCACCACCATCACTACCACCACTACCACCACCTCTACCACCACCTCTACCATCACCACACCACCACCACCATCACTACCACCACACCACCACCTCTACCACACATCACTACCACCACTCCCTACCACCACCTCTACCACCATCACTACCCATCACTACCACCTCTACCACCACCTCTACCATCCCCACCATCACAACACCATCACTACCACCACCACCACCACTACCACCACACCACCACCACCAGGCACTATTACTGCAACTAAACTACTACTAAGCACCTCCAGCCTCCCCAGCCATTTCACCCATCTAATAAGAAGCTATCCTATCTGTGTTAGTTGAGCCGCAGATCTATAGGACATTCAGTGACTGTAGCCTCATAGTCAATATCTGCGGCAGTTGTCGGAGTTGGGGCCGTGCTCTCCGTTCCCCTGAGGCAGAGCAAAGCTGACCGGGAGAGAGGACAGTCGACATCTCATCAGGCTGTAACATAACTTGTGGGCTGCTGCTTCTGTTCGGAGATCACCTCCACGAGTCTGGTGTAAAACATCTTACCCAGTTCCATCCCACCAGGGTTGTGAACACTAGAGAGTGAAGCTGCCTTGATCAACGTTCTGAATTCTCCCCATATGCCCTTCTCATGTCGTTCTCGTTCCTCCTGTGTGCAGCATCGAGCTAGGTTACGGTGACATGCGGCCATGGATCAAAGATCTGATGTGAAGAGGCTCGCTGTCCCCGCGTCCAGAATCCTCGAGCACTGACGTCAACACAGGCCTGGTTGGATGTGTTTGAAGCCCTATGTTGGAAATTCTCACCGTGCAAAGGAAGGAGGTCGGTTCTACACTGACAGCCTGGCAGATTTCCTTCAACATGTTTGCTGTGTGAGATCCCTTACTTCGTCATGCCTCATGCATATGAACCCCCTTCTTACACACCATGGCGTGATCGACGTCATTGGAAGAGCCACACACGCATTGGGAGGGCAAACCTTCTACCAGCCGACCATACCTAAGAGCAATGGCATCTGTAAATTCTTGTTTATTAAGACTGAGACCATTTGCCCTTATCGGTAACGTAGTTAACCAGTTCGAGGCGCCCACCTCCTGCGCTATAGCTACTTTTTTTCAAATTCTCGGTACTTGCAGCACAGTTGCTGCAACTTATCACTTTGGCTGTGCTGTCGTTCTGTCGTAATGGACCTTCGAGTCTTGTTTACTCCACTGGTATCCACCTCACCTGTTGCGTTCTGAGCTATCATGTGGTCAGTGAGGGCTGCCGTGAGCTTAACTGAGCTTTGATGTTTGGTGGCAGCAATCTTCTGGATTGGTCAATCCCATTCCTCCCAGTCTCGGTGGTAGTGCAAGGAGTGATCTTTCTGCTGGTGTTATGAGGGTGTTTCACCAATTTGAATGAAATTGACGCTGATAGCTTCTTCCAGAGGGTGGAGGAGGGTCCGATCTCATGGATAGTGCGCATGAGGTAGTTCAAACGATGCTTGACTCCATGGGTGAATGCCGCAAAGGCCACTTGTGGCTCTGTGTTAGCGTTATCAAACAGAGCTTGATTTCCGTCACCCACTCATTCACCGCTCCCGTTACATACTCGGTCTTGAAGTCCTTCGTGCCGACTACCGCGCCTAGGTGTCTTTGGCCGTCCTGTTATTTTGACAAACTTCCACCGAACACCTCCATTGCCCGTTCAACTACTAAACTACAACTACTACTACTATCACCACGACTACGAACCTCGATCACCACCAACCTGGCCTGCCTTCTAGCTACTGTTGACCTCTCTCTCTCTCTCTCTCTCTCTCTCTCTTCAAGACGATCTAACCTGCATCCTCACCTAACCTTTAAATTTTCTCATTTAACCTAACCTGACCTGACCTGACCTGACCTGACCTGACCTAACCTAACCGAGAGCTAGGATATATAGATACGTGTTGTGTTATAGTGTAATTTAGATACTGAGAGATACTGAACGACCTTAAACGACCATAAATAACCCGGAACAACCCTAAACGACCCAGAACAACCCTGAACGACCCTGTACGACCCTAAATAGCATGAGAACACACTAAGTTACATGAAAACCAAGACAAATTAAATATCCAGACATTATATTAAGAGGCAATTCAGTAATTAGTAACAGACCATTGATGAAGGTCATTTGCATATATAAACACTTATTAAAAGCTCTAATTAACCTTACCTCTTAATTAACTTACCTGAGTAAACTTTTATTCAATATAAATTTCTATCTATCCAGGTTTATTTTAGATTGTAAGTAATGTTAATACTTATTGAGAAGTCATAATATGCCTGGGTATTCAACTCTTGGTTAGGTTGGGTTGGGTTAGGTTAGGTTAGGTCTGGTATTATTCGTATAATTTTAGCTATAATCACTATAATCACCATGAAGGAGTATGACATAGGAGTTCATAATTACGTATAATGTTATTGGGTGTTGTACTGTATTATAGGTGTAATAACAATAATAACAACAATAATAACAATAATTCATTTACTATCGCGTCTAACTACAGGTTAAACAATGTACTAATGTGCTTCACTCTCTACAGGTATTACACGTACTACATGTACTCTTGTTGTACTCTGGTGCCTCACTGTACTGGGTCAGGTAAGAGGTCAATGTGTAATTACTGCTTGTTATTATTGGTTTGTTATGTATGCTGTTATTTGGTTGAGGTCTGTCTGTCTGTCTGTGTATCTGAGTAGGAAGAGGAGTATAAATATGAGTAGGAGGGAGAGGAAGAGGAAGAGGAGTAGGAGGAGGAAGGAGGAGGAGTGGAGGAGGAAGAGGAAGAGGGAAGAGGTAGGAGAGAGAATATAAATGTGGAGGAGAGGGAAGAGGAAGAGGAGGAGGGGAGAAGGAGTAGAAGAGGAGTAGGGAACAGCAGGAGGAAGAGGAGGAGGAGTAACAGGAGAAAACTGAATATACAAAAATATCAGCCATTGTCAGCCACTTAATATAAATCTTGTGTCAGCATTAAGAGAAAGTCAGCAGAGAGAAAGTGTCAGCATTATGAGAAAGTCAGCAGAGAGAAAGTGTCAGCATTATGAGAAAGTCAGAGAGAGAAAGTGTCAGCATTATGAGAAAGTCAGGAGAGAGAAAGTGTCAGCATTATGAGAAAGTCAGGAGAGAGAAAGTGTCAGCATTACGAGAAAGTCAGGAGAGAAAGTGTCAGCATTATGAGAAAGTCAGCAGAGAGAAAGTGTCAGCATTATGAGAAAGTCAGCAGAGAGAAAGTGTCAGCATTATGAGAAAGTCAGCAGAGAGAAAGTGTCAGCATTATGAGAAAGTCAGAGAGAGAAAGTGTCAGCATTATGAGAAGTCCGCAGAGAGAAAGTGTCAGCATTATGAGAAAGTCATCAGAGAGAAAGTGTCAGCATTATGAGAAAGTCAGCAGAGAGAAAGTGTCAGCATAGGAGAAAGTCAGCAGAGAGAAAGTGTCAGCATTAAGAGAAAGTCAGGAGAGAGAAAGTGTCAGCATTAAAGAGAAAGTCAGCAGAGAGAAAGTGTCAGCATTAAGAGAAAGTCAGCAGAGAGAAAGTGTCAGTATTGAGAGAAAGTCAGCAGAGAGAAAGTGTCAGCATTACGAGAAAGTCAGCAGAGAAAGTGTCAGCATTAAGAGAGAAAGTCAGGAGAGAGAAAGTGTCAGCATTATGAGAAACAGCAGAGAGAAAGTGTCAGCATTAAGAGAAAGTCAGGAGAGAGAAAGTAGCATTAAAGAGAAAGTCAACAGAGAGAAAGTGTCAGCATTATGAGAAAGTCAGGAGAGAGAAAGTGTCAGCATTATGAGAAAAGTCAAAGGAGAGAAGTGTCAGCATTATGAGAAAGTCAGGAGAGAGAAAGTGTCAGCATTATGAGAAAAGTCAGCAGAGAGAAAGGTCAGCATTAAGAGAAAGTCAGAGAGAAAGTGTCAGCATTACGAGAAAGTCAACAGAGAGAAAGTGTCAGCATTATGAGAAAGTCAGCAGAGAGAAAGTGTCAGCATTACGAGAAAGTCAGCAGAGAGAAAGTGTCAGCATTAAGAAAGTCAGCAGAGAGAAAGTGTCAGCATTATGAGAAAGTCAGCAGAGAGAAAGTGTCAGCATTATGAGAAAGTCAGCAGAGAGAAAGTGTCAGCATTATGAGAAAGTCAGCAGACAAAAAAAAAGAATCTCCCGTAACTATCAATTTGGTCTTCAGTAACATGAGGAAATAGTTACCGATAGAGGGACAATAGACAGTCATTCTCCCTTTTTGTTTCTCCTCTGTACGCGAAAGGAAAACTTGATGATGGTTGAAATAAAGGAAAAATGGAGAGGAAAGATAAGAAAATGGTGTAAGAGAGATGAGTGTTTTCTTATTATTCCTGACGTGGACTGATGGCTC